ACCAAATGCCAAAGAGTGGGATCACTGCGGCGACGAAGGAGGGCAGGAAGAGCCACTGGACGATGCCGATGGTGCTCACCTCATGGAAGAAGTTGACGGCACATGTGGTCGTTGCCGTAGGGGACACTCTGAGGTCACTGCGTGGTGCTATCTAATTTATCTTATGTATTTACATGTATTTACTGTAAAACAAAAATATATATATTATGTATATACTAGAAACTACTAGAACAATTTAGAATCTAGAATATCTATAATCCAGATTTCAGTCCGGCTGCCCCTCAAAACCCAGCTGTTTCTGCACCTTGTGCTGGATCCAAAGCATTGTGGTGGTCACATCGCCGATGGGGCTCCAAGCGCCCCCTGCATTGGCGCTGACCACCACCAGCCCCCCACAGGAGTGGCGCCACTGCTGCCCTGGAGCCGACATTCGCGGCTCACGCTTGGAACTGCTGCGGCCATACCAAGGTGTCGGGGTTTCAGAATGGTGGGTCCAAACCTGGGCTGGGCCTTGTCGGACTACCTTGCCTCTGGCAAACAATAAAAGCAGCTAATTACTGTGGCGTCTAATTCTTTCTGTCGCGGAACTGGGGGTCCCGATTTTGCGAGCCCAAGCAGGCTTTAAGAGCTATAGGTCAGGTCAACTGAGAATGACAATAGATCACACGGCTGGGATGAACGCATGATGGTTCCATGCAACACTTTCTCATGTGTTCGGTGCCCTCTCGTTGACACTGCTCAAAGACCTCAGATTTATGAGGTACCCTTTCGGTACTCAAATTACAGTACATGCCCAAAAAGCCCAATGCGATAGGCGTGATCTCTCCCTGCCCTCCTTCCTTTGCAGCTCAGGTCGCTGTGAGGAACCACGCGTTGCAGGATTTTCACGCAAACGATGGTGGCCTCACCACGGCGAGCTGATGAGCAAGCTTGAGCAATCATGAAACACCCACGAGAGAAGCGGTCGGCGATTTGGACCGATGTCGCCACTTTGGCGACCTGCACCCATCGCAAGTCGATCTCTTTGGGGTGCTGAAGTTCGACCTGGACGAAAGAACCAGCATTTTAGCCCAAGCTGCAGTCAAGTTATCGATGAGAGAGCTGAGGAAAAAGGCTAAGAAGCAAATCATGGGCATCAAACGGCCGGGCTTGTCCCGGGTGCCTCGCACAAGTAGCGGAAAGGCCGAACAGGCAAGAAGTGGAACAAACGGTGGCGATTCAACTAGCAACAAAGCCCTGTCAGTGTTCGCCCCGATTGCTAAATATGTTTTGACGCTTTCCAACTGAAATGAGACTGAAACAGGACCAAAGACTGACCACAACAGCTTTAAAACCATGAATTAAACTAAAAAATCCAAGTTGAGTCTTACCCAGCAATGCACTCCGGCAAAAAAAACACAGCCTCGTCAACTGAAGCATGTATATAATCAATCTTCAGCATTTTCTCCAACGAGGCACGTTTCACTAGGTAGTTGGTGATCCCTGCGAAGCCACCCATGTGATCAACGGATTCCACCAAGGCCATGGCTGGAAGCAGGAAGAGGATCACCTGAACGGCACCCCGGTCGCTTCATCTGGCTGCTTAGTGGAGGACCAAATCTCTGTATACTGTTCTATACACGGTGATTTTAACTGTCTTAACTGTCACGTCACGCACCCAAGCAAACCACATGTTTTGGCACCGGAGCCGGGCTCCAACATTGGTGTGTTCAACTTTGAAGATACATCACCGATTGTTTACCGCATTTTGAGGAGCCTTGGCAGTGTGAGGTGATGGACCCCATGGAAGATCGATGAAGATTGAAGTGGTGTCATCAAAAGAGCATTTCCAAACCAGGTCATTCGGACGGTGCCCTGGCTCCCACAGCACCAACCTCCCCTAACGTCACTATACGTCATCATATTATGAAGCTGATATACTATGTCACTTTACTCTTTCCCTTGCTCAGTTGGTCTTCACGCTGCGGCCGGTTTCGGCGGGTGGCACTGCCCACGTCCACCAAACCCTTTCCAAGCTCGTTCGAGAGGTGCTCATGACCTTGGGGGCGCTGCGGCCCTTCGGGAGTCAAGTCAGTAAAGACGAAATCTCTACTGAGAAACACTCACATCCCGAGATTCTGGATTTGCCTAGCCCAAATGGGCCCATGGGTGTCTTCGCCAAAATCCAAAGCGCATGTATCCTTCTTGAATTGGATCCGCTCGGCGGGAGCAAACGAAAACAGCCAGATTGACCAAGTGTGCTCGCCCTTCAACATACCTGGTGGGACCTCATCCCAAGGGTAAAGCTACAGTAGCATGCTCCCACGACAGTTACACACACACAAAAGTGGCCTCTGGCCACGCCTTGCCGCTGCAACCTTTTCGGGCTTCGCATGGCTTCTATCCAAGTCAAGCTGCCCTCGTGAGATTTGGTCGGATGTTTGGACGCTGCGTGGTAGGTCCACATCACCTTGAGGCTCTGAAAAAAAGGCGCATCTCTTGTCATTTCAACCGCGTTCTCTCCCACAAAATGGGCACTGTGCGAGCACGCTGTGCAAATGTTTCTTGGGATGTCTGGGGCTACACGGTTTCTTGGATATCATCTGCAATCGTTTGCCGTATCACGATGTTCATCCATGTTCTACACAAATGATGGCACACATGCCAACATATTTAAGAGCTGAGTGTCTGATGCCAGAATCAGCATGATGGCAGACTTGTCTAGTCGCACCACATCCTCACGCCACATGTCAAGCGACAAGTTCGCACAAGCATCTTGAACATATTGCAAGATATGGCCAGCAAAATCCGCACTCTGACCACGCAAACATGTCTTTTCTTTGCATGCTGACGGGAGTCCGGCCTGTCCCAAGTGACTCAGTCTAAACACCAACAAGGAGCTCTTGCAGCTCCGTCTTACTGGTCCAGGCCTCGAGGGCCACTAGAGTGATCCCAGTGAGGAACATGGCTGCGAGGATGTTCCGGTGGATCCCTTCATCTTCGATGATTCGGGATGGCCACCCCAAGAAGGCGAACCTCGCACAAAACCCCCAGAAGTAGAAGGACTCCACATGAAATCTCTGGGTGATATCATGGATGTATTGGTGAGCATGGTGCATCAATGTGTACGTATGCAGTGCATTGACGCATACACGTTCACATGCAAAAACACGAGATACTATGAGATAATGTCTTTATCACAAGAAACGCCCACCAATTGCCCAGTCCGCATGGAATCAACCGTGGCCGTACTGCACGGAACGCCTCCGATGCTTGGAAATCACTCCAGCGAACGGAGCCGACCATGGGTGTGAGGCAAAGGCAACACACCCCCCAACATAGCCAAGCAACAAGAAAATGGTTGCGAAAAGAGTCAGGCTGCTGATCCTCGGCCGACCAGGTGACATCTGACTTTCGTCTTAACGCCGACGGACCTTTCCTACTACAGTCTTAGGGACTTACAGCCATCTTTGGCCTATGAAGGTTGGGAAGGGGCCAAGACCAACCGTGCAAGGCTCTTCATCAAACGCCGTGTGGAAGTTGCGGCCACTTTGACCACCTGGAGCGAAATGGCGAAAAAATGGTGGCTCTCGCATAAAACCCTGGACCGTAGCACAGTAGGAGATCACAAGTGCAAACATCTCCGTTTTGAATGGCACACTCCCGATGGCTCGGTTGCGCAGCCGAGATTGCACCTTCATTGTATGAGTGCTATATGCACATTATACATATCTTGTCTCTCCTTTCTGTATGGGTTCCTTGATTGAGATATCGTCTCCAAAGAAAACCTGCCGCATGCCAAACACTGTGTTATTGGCTATTGATATTGGTTTAAGCTCTGGCAGGCACATTCAATCATGGTGCATTGTGTAGTTCTATTGCCCAGTGTGCAGCAAGAAAATGAACAGGCACAGGTTCACATATTACTTACCAAACAAAGTTCACAAGGAGGGATCCCACCCGAACCTCTGACGTGCTTCATGGTCACAGCAGGTGCAACGACGCAAAGAGCGGTTTCTTACAGTTGTTCATTACTGTATGTTTTCCAGTATTCAAGGGGGTGAAAACAGCAGTTTCCCATGACTGCCAAACATTTCTAGTTTGTAGATCACTGCTAGGGTATGTTTCCGACTGTGTTCGACGTGTCAGATGATCGGCATTCCTGGAGCGAAAGCTGGTAAAGGACTGTCACCTACACCGCCCTATCTCCTTTGAAAGCTGCGAAGCCACAATCCCATCGGTCAAGTCCGCCTTGTCTGGCGCGCAGCTGGCCGCTTCGCGAGAGACGGGGCTGCCGCGCATGCGCAAATCACGCGATGGTGAGTCCATGGCTACCAACCGATGTTTCTTTCTGGTGATTCTTCTATGTTCGTCAACCAGAGGGGGCATGCATGCTGGCTGCTTCAGAATGTGGGTGTTGAAAAAGAGCTTGACAAAGCCAAAGAAACATTTAGGAATGGCACTTGTTGCTGCTGTTGTTGTCCAAGTCTGCGAAGCATATTGAAATGGCAAAGGATTGCAAAGCACTGTATGTGAGCTCTTGGACTTTTGGACTAACCTGGGAACTGTCAGCATCCCTCAACTCCCCAAAGCTGCAATGCTCTCAGTCATCTGCGGTATGTACAATGCAAGTGGTGCTAAAGCCACATGGCAAGCCGGAATTGGATGACGAAGTCGTCCGGAGTCCTGAGGCATCTGGATGACGAAGCTGTTCTGCCTGGGAGGGTTGGATTAGTCCCCTTCTTGCCATGTGAAGTCGGTGTGACCCGGACAAATATGAGGACAGTGGCCTTGCGCAAGGCGCCCCAACCGCCACATCGACGCTTACGGTAGCCAAGCTATATTTGCGAAGGCGGCTTGCGGTCTTTTGGACGATGAAGTCAAGCAATCCCAGCAGCATGGACAAACCAACCATGGGCGCTTGCACTTGTGCAAAGGCCGCTGGATAAAGATCTGACCCACCTGGTTAATCCCGCATCCCCATCAACAACACACTGTATATACTATACTGTATGACACTTGCAAACATCCAATATTCAAATCATTTCCAATCGATTTCATGTCAATTCTCACAGATCGCTTCCACTTTCAAAGAGTTTTGAGCATCGGGATGTTGCACATCATCTGATCTGACAGGAAATGCCCGCAAATCTTGTAAGTGATCAGCCAGCGCCCAAACGAATTCATTGGCCTTGAGGCAAGCGGCAGGTGAAGGTGGCTCCGAAGACCCACCGGTCTCTGAAGACTTCTGTTTTTTCCTTATCTTTGGCTGGGGCGACGTTATATGTAGAAACAAAAAGCTACTAGAAACAAGTGCATCGCTTCTAGTAACAAGTGCCTTACT